CAACACACTATATACTTCAAGTATGACAGGTCTCCAAAGCAGGGCTGTCTTAAGAGTCCCACCCCATTAAATCTGAAAAGCTGTAAAAGAACCTAATGGGTTTTTATATATATATGGTTTAAATTTTAAATGAAAATGGCTAAATGCATCACTTAAGTATTAAAAGGGTATTTACTAGGCTCTACACCAGCACAATACAACACACTATATACTTCAAGTATGACAGGTCTCCAAAGCAGGGCTGTCTTAAGAGTCCCACCCCATTAAATCTGAAAAGCTGTAAAAGAACCTATGGTGTTGGATAGTTGTTATCCCTGGCAAATAGTTAAAATAATGTGTTAACCTATTCTTGTAGAATAATTCTTAAATCACCATTTTAATTTGACTTAATTCTTCACCTAAATCTGCTCACACACACACTCACACACACACCTTAGGCAAGTGACTGTGACCCTGCATGTTATATAATCCATCAGACTGCAATCAGAAGACAGTAAAACTCAATTTAAAGATATAAAATGATGAATCAAATACACTGATATAATGGAAGTAACTAACAAGTGAGCTTTCTGACTCCCCTCTCATCTGCTCAGGTTGTACATTTATTAGCCACAGCAGAACAATGAAGAAAATGGCGCTGCTGACTCATTGTCAGGATAATGTAGCTAGCTTTCTTAGCAAGCTTATTTTTCCCACCATTTTTCCCTGTTTACTTGACTGCCAAACATTTGCACAACCTATTTAAATGAACATATGGTACAGTAGAGATGGTTTACACCAGTACAATTTAACTCCCACTCACTCTTTTCGCCACGTCGACATGAAGAATCCACCAGCATCCACCTCTTGTGCTCCAAGCTAACATTAGTTAGCATTTGCTTGGTGCTAGTTACCTTTAGCTCCCAGTAGAAGATGCAGAAACTTAGAATTAATGTAAATTGGTCAGCAGCACAAATGTAAAATGTTGATTCACATCTTGTGTATCTGATGGAAACCTCTTCCATGTCCCTATTAAGGCCTTGAACAATGATCTAATGTGTTAGAAGGCATCTCTGAAATATACCTTTACTCATGCAGATGTGGCACAACTCTAAATTGAATGTTCTCGTCTCGTCAGATGTTGCACACTTTTCGTTTAAATGTGATTGTGAAGTATGATCTGTAAACTTGTTTGTGTCTGTGCAGCTGAGCAGTAAGTCAGTGAGGAAAATTAGGGTGTTACTGTCTTTGACTTATTTATTAGCTGCAGGGTGTAAGTGTATACAGTAGCAGTGCTCTGTGCTGAAGTGATCCAGTTGTTTTCACTGTACAGACACATTGTGGATAAGAGCAAGGATTAGCACAGTGCTATTGTTTTTATCCTCCACCTGATTTTGACTGAAAGGAGACCTGTTGAATTTCTTCTATGAAAATCCTTAGTGTCCTCCTTTAACAATTTGGAAACAGNATATATTGAACCTTTGTTATATTACGATTGCTGAAAACTGTATTGCGATAATTATTGATAATGTTTTATTGCTCAGCCCTAAGTAGAAACATTACAGGTAGTTGAGCTATAACCCAGAAAAACAAATATTCACTTACAGTTTCTTCCACACCAGAGAACAGATGTGGCTCCAGTTCTTTCAGGTAGGCCTCCTCACTGAGATCGAGCAGGATGTCAGCAGGTCTTCTACTTCTTGTCCTCTCTGGTGTCCGGTAAATCTGCTCATCTTCATCCTCCTCCTCCTCCTCCTGTGCTGAAGGCTCCTCATTTAATCCACACACTGTGAGATCTGCTGTTTCACACGTGTGTGTATCACCATTCTTTCTTCGGGAAGCATCGGTCATTGAGGAAATCCTCCCTGCTCTTCCCACGCAGTGGCGCTGGATGCCTTCACACACTGGCCGCAACGCTGTCGTCATGACGACCCGTAGAGGAACGGCGTGACGTGAACAAAAGGGGGAGGGGCAGATGTTGCATTCGCGTGCTCCTCGGGAGATCCCTTTTCGCGAGTTGTGAAGTCGCTGCGCTCATACTATAGACTGTTAAAAAAAGATGAACCACATGACTGCTCAACAAATGGATGGCTCCGAATATGCAAAATGGCAGCATTCAAATGCAGCGTATTTAAGCTTCGTTTCTGGATAGTGGGAGGAGGTGGAGACGTGTTGTCCGCCCTAAAATGTCCACCTGATGTACAACTATAAATACTGTGACTTTATCACTTGTGATATTGAACGTCACATGTGTTCTGCCATTATAAGTAGATCTTATCACCCTGCTGTTTTTTCAAGTGTTCATTTTTCCAGTAAGTTTGTCCCACAGACTGAATATAAAGAAGTGTGTCCACATGTGTATGGACCTGTGGGATGGACAGAACATTTGCTGCAGTGGCTCCATCCAGACTCGAGAAGTGATTGATGGATGGAGGGAGGTCCCATCGATACACTCACTTAATCAACCATTGATCAGCCTCAGCTGTCAATCATGGGGCAGAGTTCACGCTCTACTATTTAGAGTTGATAGTTAATTATGTTAACTAGTTTGTACGTGATGACGTCAGCAACTCGGCGACTCGTGAACCAGATTATTTTGGGAACAGTTGTTTCGTCTGGAGGAGGCGTTAACATGCATTTTATTTCCGATTATTCTCACAACACATGAACGCAGCATGCCTGAACGTACTGATCTGATGTCAGTTTGTTACATCTGTTTACATGTTACATACGCAACAATCCGGATTACGTCACATTAAAAAGTTAAATTAAAATCAAATTTAAAAGTAAGCTTTTGGTTGTTTTCTGGGGGCGTTGGGTTACTGTGACGCCACAGTGTGACGTATGAGGGAAGTTAACCGGAGGAACGTTCTGTTCTGCACGTAGAGCGACAGCAGACGTCAAACTGTTCCGCACATGTGCAGCTCAGCGGGGGGGGGGGCTGCGTGGGTCCAACACTTGATCCAGTGATGGTTGCTGCGCGGGGAGAGAGGGAGAGGTTTTCATGTCAGTCTTTGATTGCCTGGTCAGACTATATATGTTCCTGTCTCACTGACATTTCAAGTGGACCTCAGCAGAGGGAGCTGGCACTTTGCTGACGAACAGCATCACCTTGGTTTATTGGTCCAGAGCTGCAGAGTGTCAGCCTGTGACGCAGCCGGAGCACCTATCCGAGAGGGGGACACTGACACCTGACGGCTCCATCTCTCCACCCGCCGGTCTTTCCCCCCCATCACGACTACTTCGGTTCTGCAGTGCGGGGACTGCTGCGTTTTATGGAAGCGGACTGCACTCGTCCTGCCCCGGTCATGCTGCCCCCCAAGAACTGCCTCCCGAGGAACTACAGCTGCATAGCCGGGCTGTTCGGGAGCCTGGCGGCGGCGAACCCGCGACTCGATGATGGGGAGGATTATGACATGATGAACGGCACCTGTGAGCCCATCGAGAGCCCCGTGGTGGACGAGAGACCGCGGGGCAGAGAGATCTTCCTGAAGCCCCAGCAAAGTCCCAACCTGCGGCGGAGATGCAAGTCGCTGCCTACGCCCACCGAGAGAGCGAAGTTGGAGATCTCCCGCACCAGGAGTCCCACCAGCCAGAAGAAAGTCCGCTTCGCCGACTCCCTGGGTCTGGAGCTGATTTCAGTAAAGCATTTCGATGATACAGATGAACCAGAGGTGCCGGAGCGCATTCTGGCCAAACTCCACAAAGGACCCCTGCAGCTCAGCCATTTGGACACAAAGTTCCCTCGCGCTCCTGCGCAGTCAGTGTTCATGGAGCTGCAGTTCACCAACCCGGGCACACTGCCCGGCTTCGAGCACAAAGTGAGGGACGTGAAAGTCCTGCTGGAGACCGTCGAGGCAGATGAGTTCAGCCTCTCCGGGTTTGTGCGCGTGTTAAATCTGGCTTTCGAAAAGAGCGTCTCTTTGCGCTATTCTCTCAACAACTGGATCACTTTCATGGACAGCTTGGCGTCCTATGTCCCCGAGTCAAGCGAAGGGGACACCGATAAATTTCGTTTCAAAATCGTCACGCCCACCTACCTCGACACCGGAGGCACGCTGCAGTTCGCGATTAAATACTGTGTCGGCGGGCAGGTGTTCTGGGACAATAATAATGGCAACAATTACAAAGTGCGGCGTCACCGGTTCAAGATGTCCCCACCTCGGGAATGGGAGAATGGATGGATTCACTTTATCTGAGCTGCGGTTGCACACTGCGTGCGTAAATCTCCGCGTAAAACCTCTCCGGCCACCTTAATTATGACTGTAGCCTGTTGAAATGACCTCCCCCTGCCACTGTCCGCTTCTTTCATCCGCACGGACAAGAATTGACCACAACATTTGAAATATTTGCAGTGCTGTGGTGACAAACGGAGGCCTAAGATGGATAAGCCTTTGGTAGGTGGCCGGTGTTTTGGTTAGAACATTTGCCTTGATGTCAGGGATCTGTACAGCATGGTGCCCTTTGGGAGGGCATGCTCGTGTTATGTAATGTTGGAACACGTGACACGGATAACGTGCCGGGCAATGCCGACTTGGCGCATCACTGTTCATTTCAGGAGATGCTGTACATTTATTTGATGGCACGGTGGTACCAGAATTATCATTTTGTTTTGCATGTTTTTTGAAATGGAAAGGGGAAAGTTTTAAGAGTTATGTGCGTATTATTCCAATTTAATGTATAATTTCCCACTCTCATGCCTTTAAAATGCCTTATTTTAAGCCATGCTGTGGGAAGTTGTGCATTTAATGTTATCCAGTGATTTCTTGAGAGAGGAAATGCATTGATCGGCATTAAACATTTAAGATAAGGCCTATAGGCACAGGGACTTAGTTAGTGCCCATATGACCTGTCGGCTTCCAATCCAGTGTCATTAGCCCACAAACCTGCCTTTTATCCATTTACTGTAAATGCACCTGTTCAACGGCAGTTCTAAATCTTTCCCTGCATTTATAAGAGATTTTCAATAATTTCAAAAAATAGTGGTCAAGTAGGCCTAAACTAAGTCCAAAGAACAGACAAACTCACAAAAAAGTTTTCTCTGGATAAACAATTTCCCAAATTATAACTTCATCATGCATATTCCATCAATTCTAGGCTGTGTTAATTAAAATGGGCTTCAACATTCCTGTCCTGAACTTTTATCTGAATGAACCCCTTCAGTGTGGTTGTTACTCTCCCAGAGAAAATACATTCAGTAGCCTTCCAAGGTCAAATTTACCTCAGATTATTGTGGACTTCTTTTCTTCTTCTTCTTCAGGTTGATCATTATGAAACAGATGTTATTTTCTCTGTAATAATTTTCTAACGGATGCATTCAAACAGAAAGGCATTAATGTAAATTTGAAATATGACGCATATTAATTTCTTATGTTCTCTGTTGCATTGTGTTTATTCAGAGCAGAGTTGTCTGAAGACACAGTAGCTGTTGCGTGACTTAAACCAGCTTTTCCTGCTCTAAAGGTGCATGATAGTCACCATGTGCAGGAACAGTGTGGCTCACACATTAATACAATGGTTTGATCTGCCTCATTAGCAAATATTTCCATCATTAAATTGCAAACTATAGTCTGATCAACTCATTCCCATGCCACATGCCTTGATTGATGTTCCACAGTAGTCTTCCAAACCTGATCCAAATCATGCTGGGCTGGGTTCGCATAGATGAGCTTGTTGTAGAAGTTTGATTGGTGGCAGTTATTATTTTTTTTAATATTATATCAGTATTTTTTTGTGTGAGACTTCAGTCCAGTAAGCAAAACAGGGTGCTTTTAATTCCTGTGCTCTGACTGTAATCTGAACATCACTTTGGCCTTTGTTTACATCAACACGGCATCAGAGGGAGGCTCTCCTATTAATGGGGATGTGGATAAAAGACTATTCCTGTAACCACTTAGTTTTTGGAGGAGTTCCACTGAGAATCCATCAGTAAAGTTTATCTAAAACTCTGACATGATTTGAGTCATTGTGGCGCTGGGGGCTCCCTGATGTTGTGAGAGTAGTTTTGCTGAGATGAGAAATGGACTGCTGTCAGTAGATATTTGCAGGTTCGCTTCACCATGCACAGAGCTGGATTAAAGAAAAAAAAAAGATCTGGCTGTAGCAGAGCTTACTGTGTGTTGCGTTGTAAAATCAGTGGGTATTTACATATTGTCTGCTTCGGTCTTTATTAACTATGTTTAAGCATCCATGCAGTGTTAAACCAGAAAGCATTAATTACTCAGGCTGAGACCACTGATGTGGGCAGGATGCAACAATACCAGTCATCTGCTACTGATGGAGACTTTGATTCTTACATTTTAACATCTGGCTGATATCTGATTATTCTTTTCGACTGTCTGACTATGATTCTCTCTGCGTTTTCCATAACATGTAACTCTGGTTAAAAGTGTGAAAACTGTCAGATATCAGTTGCTCAGGTTTATCCTGCCGTCTCCCTTCCTGCTGTTGTTGTTATTGGTGCATCCCGACCCACGAGAAAACGAAGGGCTTCTGGTTCAGATTCTCACCTAAAACTAAGTATACATCACCATTTATCAGAGCTCACTGATCTATAAATATGTATGTAAATGTGTTAATGTTTCATATTGAATGTCTTCCTGTTAACTGTTTCTTGTTGCGTGTATTTTGAAGCATTTTGAAAAGTGGACTCGAGAGATGTGCGTGATGAAAGTTTACCTGGCGATGTTGTGAAGCTGGAAGAGAGAGTATGAGCCTAAATTTAATCAGTTCCTAAAAGCACACTTACCAATCAAATCTAGAATTGGAATATCGTCCGCGGTGATATTTTCTCTCAAAATGTTTTATATAAACTATTAAGATGTTGCAGAATCTTCCCTGAAATTTGCAACCAAAATGTGAGCAGTGTATCTGAATGAAATGAGATATTGGAAACCATATGTGCGCAACTACAAGTGTACACGGCCTTACCGAATTATGAGTTTCCCATAGACGAGTGTGAAAGAGGAGGAAGGTGCTAAGTGCTTGTGAAGAAATTAGGTGATTGCAGAGTGTGTGAGTTGAGGAACACATCTAAACAAAAAGGGGAAATGCAATGTGGCGTTTGAGAAACGTTTGGCACGAGCGACTAATGATTGTAGCTGATACTGAGCAGACTCAAGTCAGAGCACGTCTAATGCACTTTGAGTGGGAAAAAGAAAGATGTACTGAAAGCTTCTCTTGTGAATAGCTACTAACCAAGATGTTCTCCATCCTTTGTCATATTTTACTGCTCTTTTCTCTCACTGGGGAATCACCTCTATCTAATTCATAACCACATGACACAGTTTTCGTTCTGGGTTTGCTTCATCAGTCAGTGTTTATTGTTTTCTGTCAATTCTATGCAGCACTTTTTTGTTTTAATCTGTACTATGAGATGTCTGTTTCTTATTTTGCACTGAATGTTTCACCATAACTTTATTCTTATGTCTTCTTTTTAATGTAACCTATATTTTTGTTATAACAACGGTAAATAAAGGCATTTGTGATGATAACCAAACACACTGTGAGCCCTTTAAATTCACAATCACCCTACACAATATTTAGTCTTAATTCAGTTTCTCTCTGCAAAAATTGGGATTATTAAATATAATCTGTTGCATATTAGTGCCATCACAGCTACTTTTCCTAAATCTCATCTCTGAGCCTCCAGCAAACTTGCACAGCTTATTATTCTAACATAAAATGGGAGTGTGACTGCAGAGCTGTGCATGTTTGGGTTCTCAAGGTGTCTGACTTCTAGGTCAGCTGAGCATCTAACTATCAAAGAGCTGCTGCTCATAAAGCGACACGCTGCAGTGGGCCGCTGTCATCGCCCATTGTGGACACGGCTGCAGTCATGTCCTTGAATCGATAACAGTCTCATGCCACGCCCCCTGTGTTTATGAGAGGGAGGGGCTGCAGCTTGAAGCAGGAAAAGGGGGCAGCAAGAGCTGGACAGAGGTGAAATGATCACACAATAGAAGATCATGTCAGATCTAATGATAAAATAGATTGTATGATTGGCCTCTTTGAAACAAAAGACAGAGGGCAGCCGTGCATCAGGAGGTAGAGCGGGTTGTTCAGGTTGATGGTTCGATCCCAGGCTGCAGTCAGCATGCCAAAGTGTCCTTGGGCAATGGCAGTGCAGGCAGTGTGTGAGAGGTGTTTAAATGCTGCACATAGACACACTTATTACTGTGTGAATGGATGAATGGCAAAACTTTTCTGTGAAGAGCTGTGAGTGGTCATCAAGACCAGAGAAGTGCTCTATGAATACAGACCGTTTAACATTTACATAGTGCTTCTCCAGTCCTATTGACCACTTTACAGTACAAGTTGCACACATTCATACACTGCTTCTATATGCATAGACCACACACACACCACACATTCATACCATCCATCAATCACATCAGGGTCCATTTGAGGTTCACTATCTTCCCAAGGACACTTTGGAATGTAAGATTGAACCGCTGACCTTCTGGGTAGTGGACGACCCCAACATGTTATGCAAACAGTGTTTGTACAAAGTGTACTCTAAGATTCTTCATTTGTTGGTGGCGTAGCTCTGGCTCATAGTCTGACACCTCAGATGTTTGTTTTTTTACTTCGAACAATGATAGCAGTTTCTCTCTGAATAGCATTGGTAATTCATTTACAGCAGCAAAGCGGCATTTAATCTAAATAAATCCACACTGTCGAGAGACCATTCACAGATGCCATTATCAGCCACTAAATGGATGATAATGGCGCTGCAATAGAACACTCACTGGAGGTAAATTTTACTCCAGAATAGAATGAATTAAGTGTGTCTAAATTAAACCTGTGTGTGTGTGTGTGACAGGTATATATCGCACATGTGTGTCTGGTCTATGGGGGGACCTCAGTGTCAGATTTGGAACACGATCCTGCTTAATCTTCCTGTAAACCCCTGAGGCAGTGATGATTGAACAGCGTTTAACTTTTCTTACTCACAGCCGTGCTGGAGGCGCCCTGACAGCGAGTAGCTGCTCAGCATGCTGGCTTAAAGGGATAGTTCACACAAAAATGAAAATGTACACATCATCTACTCACCACTATGCCAGCAGAGGGGTGGGTGAAGTGTTTGAGTCCACAAAATACTTTCAGGGTTGAAATCACCGTTAAACGTAAAAATACTGCTTCTGTGGTGTCATCCAAGTGTCTATAAGCCCCAACATTCAAGGCTGACTCTAAAAGAGGTAATTTACACCAACCTTTTAGCCTAAATTTCTGCTGTGATCGAACGCAGCTCCTGAGGAGGATATCAGAGGACATTCATAATAAAAACATGGTGCAACTGAAGCCGTTTCTTGTTTTGTTTAGTATAATAAAGTCAAATTTGAATGTTGGGACTTACAGACACTTGGATGACACCACAGAAGCAGTATGGAGGCATTTTATGTTTTTTTCTATTGTTTGTATACATTTGAAGAAGTGGTCCCAGTTACTAAAATTTTATTGGATTTGGCTGCAATGCTGTTTACCCCTAAAACTCCTTCAGCTTTTGTGGACTCAAACATTCCACCCACCCCTCCATTGGCATAGTGATGAGGAGATAATAAGTGAATTTTCAGTTTTGGGTGAACTTCCCCTTTAATGCTTCCTGCAGCCAGTCACTGTGAACCCATATGCTACAGACAATGAAAACCTGCTGTGAAACTCCAATTTAATTCATGATACGAGCGAGTGGAAAATCACATCATTGCCCAGAATACACATAAAGGCAGATTAAAAATATCCAATGTCAGTAAGTGGTGAAGCAGAAAATGAAGACATGCAGTTTTATTGAACTGAAGAGTGGCACATTTGT